CACACACACACACACACACACACACACACAGTGCACTCAGCGTAATGACAATCGCAAGTTAAGTCTCAATCCCACAGAGAGAGAGAGCAGCGGGATTGACAATCTGGATTTACTACACACACACACACACACAGCATGAGGTCTAACTACCTGTGTGTGTATGTGTGTTTGTGTGTGTGTGTGTACAGTATGTGGATCTTGCACAATGCTCAAAAAGACAAAAATATATCAAGACCAGAGATTTCAGTACTTTTACATGATTGGTTGTAGGAAGGAGATAAATATTCTTATTATATTATCAGGAACCAAATGATTCAGATAAAACAAAACGTGCAGCTGAAAAAAACCTTTCTTTAAAAATAAATAAATAAATTGCATAGAAACCAACACACAAACCTTTGTGTATTTTGAATGTGTGTAACTGTGTGCGTGTCGTGACATGCTAACGTCATGCATGACAGTAAAACATGCATGAGTAGCAGCAGTCGACTCCTTCCCTTACCATCGTCCTCTCTGTCTCTTTTCATTCCTAGTTGGTGATTCGCGTTCATTTGTCAGACGAGAGCTCAAAGACGATGATGGTGGACGAGAGACAGACGGTCAGACAGGTACGGAACATGTCTTAGTACTGCAAACAGAGTATTCAGAGCCCCTGGTCAGTAATACTGTAGTAGTAACAGGAGTAGTTGTATTATTATTATTATTATTATTGTGAGAGTAGAAGTTGTGTGACTGTAGATTCTCCTGTTCTTCAGGTTCTGGACAGTTTACTGGAGAAATCCCACTGTGGCTACAGCCCAGACTGGTCCCTGGTGGAAACGATCAATGAGCTGCAGATGGGTGAGTACACACACGCACACACACGCACACGCACACACACACACACACGCACACACACGCACACACATGCACCCACGCACAAAGTTGTAAAAAGATCTTGATGAAGATCCTGGTCTTTGCAGTGGAAACGTATGTGACTCACTCAATTAGAACTAAGTGGAAACACTGGAGAGGGACGGACTTCATTCACAATTTTTTTTACAAGCAGATACAGTAGATACAAGTGCACGCACACACACAAACACAC